AAGCTGTTAGGTGGCGGTGGTGTTTGCTGGGTGCTATCTAGTCGATTCCAACTCACAGCGACCCCATGTACAAAGTAGAACTGCCCCATTGGGTTTTCTCGGCTGTTATCTTTATAGGAGCAGATCACCAGGCCTTTCTCCCATGGAGCCACTGGGTGAGTTAGAACTACCAACCTTTTGGTTAGTAGCCAACGCTTAACCACTGTGCCACCAGGGATCCTTTAGAGTTAGGTGCCTACTACAGAGCTCACAGATCCAGAAATTCAGCACTCCTCAAAGGTAATGGGACTCAAAGAAACTAGTCCACAAGACTAAGAGCCCACACGAACCACAGCCTCATCTAGCCTAAGACCATGGACACAACAGAAGGTCCCGGAGAGAATGAGAAAAAAACGTAAAACATAACTCAAATTCTTAAAAAGGCCAGACTTAGTGGACTGACAGACTAGAGGAACCCCCGAGACTATCACCCTAAGGTTCCCTTTGAACTTGGAACTGAAGCCACTCCCAGAGGTCTCCCTTCAGCCAAATAATGGATTGGCTTATAAAATAAACAATATCACCTGAGTCACATGCTCCCTTAAATAATCAACTGTATGAGGCCAAACGGTCATCATTTACCCTAAAGCAAAAACGAGAACATAAGGAGGGGCAGGGAAGCTAGATTAATGGAAACAGAACAAACTGAAGGGAAATAATGAGAATGCTGAGAATGCTGACACATTGTGAAACGTGTGTAACCAATGTCATGGAACAATCTGTATACAAATTGTTAAATGAGAACCTAACTGGCTGTGTAAACTTTCACCTACAACACAATATTATTAAAAAAAATAAAAGTAACGAGAGTCCCTGGGTGGTGCAAATGGGTTAACACGCTCAGCCGCTGACTCAAAGGTTCCAGTCCATCCAGAGGTGCCATGGAGGAAGGCCTAGTGATCTACTTCTGAAAAATCATCCCTGAAAACCCTACGGCACACGGTTCTACTTTGACATACACGGGGTCACCATGAGTCAGAGTCAACTTGAGGGCAACTGGTGGTAAAGGCAAGGGAATAAACTGGAAAGCTACGTATTTGTGGGTGGAATTGGCAAAGAGGTGGCATCTGTGAAAAGCTGGCAAAACCATGGCTGCCTTCCAGCTGGGCTCTCTGGCAGGGCCTGCACACACAGCACCAGTTGTTGTCAAGTGCTGTTGAGGTGGTTCCAACTCATAGCGATCCGGTGTACAACAGAACAAAACCCTGCCCACTCCTGCACCATCCTCATAACTGTTGTTATACTTCAGCCCACTGTGGTAACCACTGTGTCAATCCATCTTGTTGAGGGTCTTCCTCTCTTTCGCTGACCTTTTACTTTACTAAGCACGATGTCCTTCTCCAGGGACTGGTCCCTCCTAATAACATGTCCAAAGTATGTGAGACGAAGTCTCGCCATCCTTGCTTCTAAGGAACAATCTGGATGTATTTCTCCCAAGACAGATTTATTCGTTCTCCTGGTTGTTGTATGCCGTCAAGTCAATTCCGACTCATAGCAACCCTACAGGACATGGTAGAATTGCCCCATAGGATTTCCGAGGAGCGGCTGGTAGATTCGAACTGCCAACCTTTGGTTAGCAGTCTGAGCTCTTAACCACTTCACCACCAGGGCTCTCCATGGCATATTCAATATTCTTCACCAACACCATTATTAAAATGTATCGATTCTTCTTAGGTCTTCCTTATTCCTTGTCCAGCTTTCACATGCATATGAGGCGACTGAAAATACCATGACTTGGGTCAGGCACGCCTTAGCCCTCAGGGTGACACCTTTGCTTTTTAATTTTTTGCCGCAGATTTGCCAATGCAATATGTCACTTGATTTCTTGATTGATGCTTCCATGGGTGTTGACTGTAGATCTAAATTAAAATGAAATCCTTGACAACCTCAGTATTTTCTCCATTTATCATGAAAACCAAACAATAGTTTACCTTAATTAGTAAAGAATGTCTGCCTTGAGCATTGTGCTCTTTTAGATGTATCCATGTGGAATCGAACTGACTACAGCACCTCAAAAAAAATTAGATAGGAAGCTTAGGGGACAGTGAGTTTATGTTAATGGGGGAGGAACAACTCGGAAAAGCAGGGTGGGAAAGGTTGCAAAGCTCAAAGAGTGTAATCAATATCATTGAATTGTACATGTAGAAGTGGTTGAATTGGTGTATGTTTTGCTGTGTATATTCTCGACAACAACAAAAAAGAATGTCTTCTAGAGCACTTCAAAGCATTGTCTGAGAAGCGTCAAGCCTACACTCGGAAGCAGCATCTCAGAAGCAGGGATTTCTAACTCTGGCACGCTTGGTTCACTTGTTCAGTTGGTGTAGAACCATTTGGGCGTCAGACACAAGTAAAACGATTTCATTACAACATCCAACTATGGGACTTCCCACTTCTCATACCCTGGCTATGGACAAAAAAAGAAACCAAAAATTAAGATATTAAGAAAAATGGAAACATATGTACATGGCCTGCTCTCAGTGGCGACTGGCTGTAATACGTCCTGTGACAAAGGGGTTCTGTAAAATAGAAGCAGCAGCCTGGAAGAAATTCAAGTAATTGAATTTATGCAACAAGATGGCCGACAGCAGGAGAGATTTGAAGTCGATTTTGAGAGTCTGAGTAACAGCTAGGTAGAAGTCTAAAGATTCATTATTCCAGCCTGCCACATTTAGAAACTTAGAACCCATTCTTGATTGATACTTTGTGAACCTACAGCGAAAGCAGTTGTTTTCCTTTCTCCTACACTCCTCAGGGCAAGAAGCCCTGGTGGTGCAGTGGATAAGCACTTGGCTGCTGACCAAAAGGTCGGCAGTTCGAACCCACTAGCAGCTCCGTGGGAGAAAAGACCTGGTGATCTGCTCCCATAAAGATTCACAGCCATGGAAACCCTCTGGGGCAGTTCCAGCCTGTCCTATAGGCCCGCTATGAGTTGGAATCGACTCGATGGCAACGGGTCTGTTTTTTGGTGAGCTCCTCAGGAAGGTGCCTAGGTGGCACAAATGGTTTGTGCTCAACTACTAGCCAAAAGGTTGACGGCTCAGACCTACCCAGCAGCCCTGCAGAAGAAAGGCATGGCGACCTGCTTCCACAAAAGGTTGCAGTCAAGAAAACCCTATGGAGCACACGGGGTCACTGTGAGCTGGAATCGATTCTATGACAATGGGTTGTATATACTCCTGAGGCAGGAAAGGAAAGACCAAGAGATGGAATCATCTGGAAGAATCAGAGGAAACAGCCCTTAGAGATCAAATTTCAGAAGGCTATCAAAGTCGGTGCCTGATGGTCAGATTAAGCAGGGACAGCAGATTGTGATCCTTGTCAAGATCCAATCGTAATTACAAAAACCAAGCGTGAACAAACAAAAGTGTCACAAAGCCATAAACAAAACAGCACTGTTTTTAAACGCACCTTGGGATTCATTACCAAGTTTATCAGTTTTATCCACCAAGGTCTGTACGTGGTGCAAATGGTTCTCAAGGTTGGCAGCTTGAACCTTGGCCACAGCACCACAGAAGAAAAGGTCTGGCAATCTGCTCCCATTAAGATACAACCAAGCCCTGACGGGGAGCACAACAGAGTCCCCGACAGGGCAGGATAAAGGTGGGGTGCAGAACTCAAATTCTAGTAAAAAGACCAGAGTTAATGGTCTGAGACTGGAGGAACCCCAGAAGACATGGCCCCTGGACTCTCTGCTACCCTAGAACTAAAATCATTCCCGCAGCTAACTCTTCAGACAAAGATTAGACTGGACTATGGGACATAAAATGATACTCGTGAAGAGTGTGTTTCTTAACTCAAGTAGATACATGAGACTAAATGGGAAGCTCCTGTCTGGAGGTGAGATGAGAAGGCAGAGAGGGTCAGGAGCTGGTTGAATGGACACAGGAATCAGTGGTGGAAAGGAGGAGTGTGCTGTCACAGTATGGGGAGAGCAACTAGGGTCACATAACAATGCATAAATTTTTGTACGAGAGACTAACTTGAGCTATAAACTTTCACCTAAAGCCAATTAAAAAAAAAAAAGATTACAACCAAGAAGACCCTATGGAACAGTCCTACTCTGTAACACCTGGGGTTTCCATGAGTTGAAATCAACTCAACAGCAATCAACAACAAGGGCAGGTGAGAATAGCCAGTCACCATTGTGCTGATCAAAAATCAGTAACAGAAAAGATACTTCAAAAGTAACTCTCCTGGGATTCTTGAAAGTGATGTTATGTTCCTCATTTTTCTGGTTCTTATTACTCTAGGTGAGTTCTTCCAATGGGTGGCCATGATCACAAGAGCCGACTCTACAGAACTCCCCATTTTGTTCTTCTTGAGGCCTCCCTGTCACTTCCAAAGCTTAGCAGCTCTTCGCCACCCACACCCCAACAATTGGTGTTAGGACAGGAAGAAGGCAGGGGGGAAGCTGAAGCTAAAACCCGAGGTGAGGGGTCATCGTTGCTTGCTTTACTCACTAAAATGGCTAAGTTGACTATAACCACTAACTAGCTGCAAACACTTGTTAACAAGGTTACCAAAACGGTAGGGCAAAAGGAGCCCTGGTGGCACAGTGCTTAAGCACTGGGCTGCTAACCAAAAGGTCGGCGGTTGGAACCCACTCAGCATCTCCATGGGAGAAACATCTGGCAGTCTGCTCCCATAAAGATTCTGGCCTAGGAAACCCTATGGGGCAGTTCTGCTCTGTTACATGGGGTCACTATAAGTCATAATAGACCCAACGGCAACAACATTTCACCTCAGACACTCGACACACTGTTGATTAACCAAGTCACCAGAACATCACAACTGCTGCGTTAAGTGAATGCTTTCTGAGGTCGGAAAGGAAGCTGCCACAGAAGTCACAAGACCTCGTTTCTTGTCCCACGAACCATCTGGGTGGCACGGTATCCCCATATAAAAAGTGAGGGGTGGGACCGGAGGCACTGGCGTGCTGGGATCCTGGGAGAAATACTCACTCTGCGGGTAGGTGTGGAGGCAGGTAAGGGGCTGGGACTGCTGCGCTGTTTTCTGGGAGCTGACTGCCCCTCAGGTGAGCTGGTAGACGAGGATGAGCTCAGGGAAGAATGGCTGAGGACAGAGTCTTCTTCGGGGCAAGAGGCCAGCTCCTCGCTCTCCCAGGCCATGCTCTCGTCCAATGGTGCCGTCTGGGGAGACCTGGCCCGAGGAGGTTTCGCAGCCAGGATATCCTGCAAGACCACCACGGGCACCTTCCCTTTAAATAGGATGCCCCCCGCCTCGCTCCAACCCTGCTGTTCCCTTTCACAGCACGTTCTCCAACCACCTGTCAGTTCAGGGCAGGGTTCTGGTGAGGCTTTCTGCCCATCTCCATGCCTCTCTGTGCCTCCTGAGCCAGCACTTTCCTCCGTGTGGCACGGAAGGTCGGGAAGGATCTCTCCTGGAGATGCCAACTTATCGTCCTGACTGGCCTTCACCAGGCCCCTCTGACCTTCATCTTCCTCTCCACCCCCACCAACAGCCTCCCTGGAGGGAGGGGCTTCAGAACTGCATTTAGCGTGGTCCACAGGGCTGTCCGGCTGATCACTCGAGTCCTCCGTCAAGTCAATTAGGACTGCGGTCTCGCCAGGACTGCTTTTGGCTTTTCTTATAAAGGTATCTAACGGACCCTTCCCGTTTATGAGTTTTGGTCTAAATTCGGCATCAGAACCCGTATGGCAGTGGTTCTCCAAGTTGTCCAAAGAGGTTTCCAAGCTGGGGGCTGTATTTTGCACAGAAGCACTCTGAGAGCTTCTCACGTCCTCTGAGCTGTCGTCGGGTTTCTCCTTGGGGACAAGACTCAAGCGCTTGAAAGGCAGACGAGCTGGAAAAGAGGGAAGGAGGCCAGCTGTTTAGCAAAGGTGTAAAGACATGAATAAGGAGCCCTGGCGGCACAACAGTTAAGCACTCAGCTACTAACAGAAAGGTCAGAGGTTCCAACCTACCCACTGGCTCTGGGAGAAAGATCTAATGATCTGCTTCCATAAAGATTACCAGCCTAGGAAACTGGCTGTATGGGGCCAGTTCTATGGGGCAGTTCCACTCCGTCCCATGGGGTTGCTATGAGTCAAAATCGACTCGACAGCAGCCAGTAACAACAACAAAAGACATGAACAATGACAATAAATCAGTGCCTTCATATTCCAGATGCTGGAAAATCATCAACCTTGTTGGCCTTTAGGGGGGAAATTTTTTAAAGGGGCCATCTTCTCATTCTGTACTTTTTCAGCATCCTAATTGAAAATGGAAAAAAAAAAAAAAAAAGAAAATCTGACAAGGCTTTAGCGGGGATGTTGTCAGAATTTCAAAAAAAGACATTTTCTGATGGGTTTAAGAGCCAGTTCAAATTCTAAATCATTTATAATGGATGTGAATCCCTTTGAAAACAGCCTCCAACCTTTCTGTTTCTGAAGAGCAAAATACATAGATCCATTAATGGCAGTCCCTGGGGGGGTGGGGGCAAACGGTAAACACGCTCAGCTGCTAACCAAAAGGTTGCAGCTTCCAACCCACACAGAGGCACCTCAGAAGAAAGGCCTGGTGATCTAGTTTAGAAAAATCAGCCATTGAAAACCTACGGAGCACAGTTCTACTGCCACACATGAGGTCGCCCTGAGCTGGGGTCCAATTGACAGTATTTATGGGAAAATGTATCTTTCTGCCGCCAGCACCCTGGCCTCTGTTACTGGAGGAATTCTGTAAAAAAGCAAAATGTCCTGTGTTGCCAACCAAACAACCACCCCCCACCCTACCCCCAGGCTAGATGTGGAGGTTAAGTGCTAACATTAGAGGGATTGAGCCAATGTAGAGGAGTGAACTTCCCAGGAGCCCACATTGACTTAGATGCCAAAACATTTCCCATTAACTTTCTTGTTTTTTAATGTAATAGAGCAAATAAAACAGAGAAACCTGTTCTTGGTCATATATACTTTATCGGTTTATAAAACAAAGATGCCCATAGGGTCTACAGTTTTTGCCCCTATGCCTTTAACCTCGGGAGAGTATTGTCCTTAATACGATTCCCACCAACACCAAATCTGCTATGAGTCATCCTATGAGAAGGCAAATCACTACTGGGGGGAACCATATAACCAACTTTTAAAAATCAGAGATGACAGCTTTTTATACGATCCAGCCATTCAACTGGCCCAACTGTAAAGGTTCTCCCTTTCAGGATCTGGGGACGTTTACCTTCCCCCCGTAGGTAAACAGCCATGACAGTGGGCTCAAACATACTAGCCATGATGAAGGCGAGGCAGGACAAAGCAACGTTTGTTTGCACCCTGTGCAACCAACTCCAGGGCAACTAACATTACTGTCTTTCTGTAAAGCAGTGGTTCACAACCAGGGGCAATTCTACCTCCCTGGAAGCACTGGCAATGTCTGGGGACATTTTTGGTTGTCACTTTAGGGATGGGGGGCGGACGAGGAGACTACTGGCAGCCAGGGATGCTGCTAAACACCCTGCAACACACGGACAGCTCCCGGTGACAAAGAGTATCTGGCCCAACATGTCAATAGTGCCAAGGTGGAGAAAACTTACTGTAGAAGCAGTGACCTCTGGGTTTACTGCTGGGCACCCAATGGGACATTGTTGTGAGGTGCCATTGAGTCGATTCTGACTCACAGTGACCCCATGGGACAGAACAGAACCGCCCTATAACATTTCCTAGACTGTGATCCTTATGCAGGCAGATTGCCAGGTCTTTCTCCTGTGGAGTCACTGGGTGGGTTGGAACCCCCAACCTTTTGGTTAGCAGCGGAGCGCTTAACTGTTGTGTCACCAGGGCTCCTTAAAGGAATATTAATGTGACAGAATGGGTGTCCCAACTTTCTGCTGTAAGTAGCAACTGTTTTTTGCCCTCCAGCCCCCCAACTCTTCTGCTGAGGGTCCCAACAAATGGCCTTTGCTCAAAAATTAAAAGTATAGCTGAGAAGACAAAGAGGGATACAAATTATCTTCTTATAAACAGACACAACAGCCGCTCAACTATTTAACCTCTTCCCAGAAAGTTACCTTGTATTAACTTCTTCACTGGAAAAGCTGGTCTGTCTTTGCAATCCATGGCTGTGGATAAAAGTATCCAAGGATAAGTTATTAAATGTTGGAAATAATTAAGCCAGCAAATACATATACAGAATCTATTATATACAATGTGGTTCTGCAGTGGGGGTGCTTTTGCCTGCCCCACCAGAGTATACTTGGCAATGTCGGGAAACATTTGCGGGTGCCATGACCTGGGGGGAGGTGCTACTGGTATCAAGTGCGTGGAGACCAAGGATGCTGCTCAACACCCTACAGTGCACAGGATGGCCCCACCACAGAGAACGCTCTGGCCCAGAACTGCCAAGGTGGAGAAACCCTGCCCTAGACACTATCACATCTTCTTTTGTTTTCCTGTGGTACTGAAACGTTCATGTTTTTATGTCTCTTACACAACAGAATGTAAAATCTGTGACGGTGGGGAGCCTTGATCCACACTGCACTCACAGCACCTGGCTCAGAGACTGGCACATAGCAGGGAGTCCATGAATAGAGTCACAAGAATAGAGAAAAGCAGAGTGGGTAAGGGTGGAGATAAGAGAAAACACTGTATTACCAATTTCACTATTATCATGGGGTCGTCATCAGTCAGAGGCAACTCGAGGGCAACTAAATACAACAAATGACCCTGAAGCATCCTCCTCCCACTCCCATCCCCCACAGATCTGGAATATTAGAACAGAGTTCACTTTCTTTTTAGTTTATGAAGGTGATACAATTTAGAGCACTTTGAGATTATCAGGTAGAAGCTGAAGTGTTGTCAAGAAATAATCTGGGAGAACATTTTCCTGTATCAAAAAAAATTCTCAAGAAAAGTAACTAATAATGTCAAAGCTCATGCAGAAATGACCATAAATAGAACCAAGCCTTTGGGTAAGCAACTTTAAATAGTTAGAATAAGTTTAGAAGCTCATACCTGCTAGAAGACCTTCCTAGAAAAAAATCTAGTTATTTTGGGCAATCTACATATGTTTTGTAAATAATACATAATGGTGAATATTTTTTAAAGGCAGACTACTGGGTCTTTCTAAAAAACTCAGTTGTCCATAGATGAAACTGCTTCCCCCTGCCCCTGCAAAGCTTGGAGAGTAAGAGAAGGTACCAGAAGGTTTGCACTTCCTGTCTGCCCATTTCAAGAGAATGAAGGTAACACCATCTTCACCTTCTCAGTTACAAAAAAAAAAAAAAAAAAAGACTTTTTTACCCTCTCAAGTGAAGGACACACAATCTTTAGTCACTTAAATTTACTTTCAGGACAACCACAGGACTTATTTGCACAGCCCTGAGTCACTAGCTTTGACGCAAATGGAACAGAGCACCCTGGGCTCAGAAGCAACCTGAGGTTGACATCAAGAGCGACCCATCCAGGGATCCACGCTGCTCCAAGGCACACACACAATCAACATACTCACGTGTATAAAGCTGCCAGCTGTTCTTGACTCTGAGATTACATCCCTCCTAATTTTATTCGGTATTAAAGCATCCTTTCCTTTTATGATAGTATGGTCACAGAAGGTGGTGGTATTTTTTTTTTTTTAATACCCTTAATTAGTCATATAAAATGATCACAGCTCCATGACTACTGTATATTAATTTTACATCCCTGTGAAATCTTCAAAGTCTGGAAACTACTAGAATGCGGGTGGGAATAATGCAGTCCAGGGTACACTTGACAATATCCGGAGGCATTTGTGGTTGTTGCAACTTGGGGAGGAGAGGCTACTGGCATTGAGTGGGTGGAGGCCAGGGATGCCGCTCAACACCCCAGAATGCACAGGACAGCTCCCTATGACAAAAAGTTATCTGGCCCAAAGTATAAATATGGGCCTGATCTAAGGAAATGTGGGGAGGGAGGGGTGCTTCAATCCCCAAGGGGACGCTTGACAATGTCTGGAGACACTTGTGATTGTTACAACTTAAGGGGGTGCTACTGGCATTGAGTAGGTAGAGGCTGGGGATGCTGCTCCACACCCTACAGTGTCCAGGATGGCTCCACCCTGGAGAATTATCTGGCCCCAAATGTCAAGGTCCAGGTCAAGAAAGCCTGTGCTACATAGAAAGTTAAATTTCCCCAACATTAACCAAATATCTTTTATCACTAACATCTAGTTCAGGGGTTCTCACCCAGGGTGATTCTGCCATCAGGGACACTTGGCAATGCTTGGGGGCATTTGTGGTTGTCACAACGGGGAGTGGGGTGCTATGGCATGGAGTGGGTGAAGGCCAGGGATGCTGCTCAACACCCTACAGTGCACAGGGCATCCCCACCCCGGAGAATGATCTGGCCTCCGTATCAGCAGTGCCGAGGTTGGGAAGCCCTGGACTAGACTAGTTGATGTGCTTCCAGCCCTTAATTCATTCAACCAACACAAATTTCTCGAGCACATACTATGTGCCAAGTGCTGGGGACCCAGTGGGGAGTCAAGCAGGGGAGACAGGCAATCTGGTCTTCCTTGGTCCACCCCACGTTTTGGGGGGCCCGCTATTTGCTACATAGAAAAACCCTTCGACAATGTGGGGGGGCAGCTCATCAATTTGCATAGCAGGCAAGATCAAGACCCCGGGGTTCCAACTCCCTGACAGTAACCATCATCCTGGCCTCTTACCTGGGCTTACCCTGACCCGCACACGCAGCTGTTCCGACCCCTGAGCCCGTGTGACCTCGGGCCTCAGTTTCCCCACCCAACCAGAAGGTCACTGCAAGGCTCAACGGGCCCCAAAAAGCACTCGGTAGCTTGCAAAAGCCGGCCTTTTCGCCTCCCTGGGCCTCAGTTTCCCCACTTGGACCCGTCACCCTCCAGGGCCCTGGAAGGACGAACTGACGCAAAAGCGCCGGAAAAACATGGTCGCGGCCGCAACAATAACGTCAAGCAGGACGTCCTGCAGGTCACAAGGCCCTTGCTCGGGATTATAATGGTCGGCTCCACAGGCTGAGCGCCCAGCGCGGAGGAGCAGGCCCGCGGCCCGGAGGCCCGTTCGCCCCCAACCGCCGCCTTAGCCCTCACAGGCCGCGCGCCGCGCCGCGCCCCCCCTTCCTCGGGGCCCGGACCCGGTCCGACCTGGGGGGGCTCCCCTGGCGCCCGGCGCCCCGCACTCTGGCTCCTCCACCATCGCTCCAGCGGCGGCTCGATCCCTCCTCAGGCGGGGGAGGCGGCGGAGGCGCGGGCTCCCCTAAGGCGGCCGCTGCTGCTCGCCCTCCCGCCCGCGCCGCTGCTGCCACGGCCGCCGCGCTCGTATTTGGCGGGAACCGCGGCGGCCCCCGCAGAATGTGAGCCGATTGGGCGAAGCCGCGTCACGTGACAGCCCGCCGGGGAGCGCCGGGAACATCCTCGCGAGAGCCGTTGCCACCATTCCTCCCATGGCTCTCCTATTGATATTCCCGCGGGCGGGGGGGAAACTTTCTCTTCGTAACCTGTCATTGGCTGAGAGGACATGCGCTGCGATTGGTGAAGGGAGGTGTCATGCTGAGAGATAAGTATTGTTATTGGCTGAAATCCGTGGGATTGGTCGGTAGGAGGAGGGTCCAGGCTCTAACGTCATGACGCGAACGTATTACGTAAGTCGCCGAGTGACAACTGAAAACTGCGGCTTAGACCGCGATCTGAAGTTTTGAGTTTAATCCTAATTAGACATCAGCTGAATATCCAACAACAATTAGTATTACAAATTACTTGTTAATGAGCAATAAAATAAAAGCTGCGAAGCGCTTCCTAAGGCTTTGACATGCAGTAAATATATTCAGAGCGAATGAATGAAATGAAAGTTTCTGGTTAAATTCTCAGGACGTGCTGTTTTCTCTGCCCAAAACCCTCTTTCCGCAGCTCTTTCTAATTTATACCTAATCTTCAGATCTCAGGTGACACCTCGGAGAAGCCTTTCCTTCTCCATCCCCAACAAGATCAGGCACCTACGACACTTTTTTTTTCTTTTTAAGCAATTGCAGCTTCTAATACGTGTCTGTCGGCGTGTTATTTGATTAATGAATTTATTTTTTATTTAATTTTTTTTCCTGCCGTGAGGGCAGAAATTGTGTCTTTTTGTTCATCACTGTATCTCCACAATCTTGTCAGTGCCTGGATACAGGCATAGTACTCATTCCTATCAAGTCGATTCCGACATAGCAACCCTGTAGAACAAGGTAGAACTGTCTTATAGGGTTTCCAAGGCTATAAATCTTCTTGGAGGCAGACTGCCAAATCTTTCTTCTGCCGGAGTTGGACCTCTGACCTTTCAATTAGCAGTCAAGAGCTTAGCCACTGCTCCACCAGGGCTCCTACATACATAGTAGATGCTCAATAAATATTTGAATAAATAAATAGGTATCATTTGATTGCACTGTGTAGATCATGCAGGTTAAAAGCCTCACACAGAAGAGACCCTCAGTAGACACTCTCAGTGTCAACCTGCAAGTCTTAGAAATAGGTTAGCTTCAGCACTACTGTAATGTTTGAGAGAAGCAGAGGTGAGGAAAGATTGGAAACTTAGCCAGAGTCTGGAACTCTATTGCAGTAGATGGGATAATTCAATTGGTAGAACTGGTTGGGAAAGGAACATTGAGAAATAGAGAATTGGGAAATACCATTTCAGGCAAGTCACATCACATTACTCAGCCTCAGTTTCCCCATCTGGACCATGGGGATGTTTTCCCTCTCTTCTCTGACACTCTGTGATGATTTAGACCAGTGGGTCACAGCTGAGGGTGTATATCAGAATCACATGCGGAGGTTTCTCAAACTGTTCATAATGGCCCCACCTAGTTCATGAGGATCTTGGGGAGCAAGGCCAGAGCATGCGTATTCTGAAAAAAACCCTCATGGAGATTCTGAAGCAACCCTCGGACTAATCTAGTCCAGTACCTCTACTGAGGCATTTGGAAACTTCTAACTATCTTCTGCATTCAGAAAATCACCTAAATCTATAAGGTTTCAGCATAGAAGTTCCAAGTACTTTGTCTCTAATCACATTCTTGTTTTTATTTCCAATTCATTTCTAATGTTTTCAATAAACTCTTAGTGTGCACTTTCTATGTGTCAGGGCCTGTCTACGTGCTGGAAAAAAATCATTAATTTATTCAACAAATATTTATTGTCATCAAGCATGGTACTATAATGCTGAATAAAACCTTTGTCCCACTCCTCCAGGAGACAGATCCATAAGCAGGCTATCCTACGGTAGGATGATACACTTTGTGGTAGTGCAGAGTTCCTCCACCTCAGTACTATTTACATTTGGGGCCAGATCATTCTTTGGGAGGGGGGCTGTGCATTGTAGGATATTGAGCAGCATCCCTGGGTTCTACCCACTAAATGCCAATAGCACACCCCCCACCCAGTTGTGGCAACCAAGAATGTCTCTAGACATTGCGAAGTGTCCCCTGGGAGGGGATTAGACTCATCCCTGGTTGAGAATCACTGTGGCAAGGTGTCTTAGTTATCTAGTGCTGCTATAACAGAAATCCACAAGTGGATGGCTTTAACAAAGAGAAATTTATTCTCTCACAGTCTAGGGGGCTAGAAGGCTGAATTCAGGGTACTGGCTTCAGGGGAAGGCTTTCTGTCTCTGTCGACTCTGGGGGAAGGTCCATGTCATCAGTCTTCACCTGGTTTAGGAGCTTCTCATCGCAGGGACCCTGGGTCAAAAGGACACGCTCCCCTTCTGATTCTTGGTGGTAGGAGGTCCCTCTCCTCTCTGCTCCATTCTCTCTTTTATATCTCAAAAAAGATTAATTCAAGATACAACCTAATCCTGTGGATTGAGTCCTGCCTCATTAACGTAACTGCCTCTAATCATGCCTCATTAGTATCATAGTGGTTAAGATTTACAACACATAGGATAATAACATCAAATCACAAAATGGTAGACAACCACACAATACTGGGAAGCATGGCCTAGCCAAGTTGACACACATTTTTTGGGGACACAATGCAATCCACAACATAAGGGTATACATAAGGTGATTAACAAAGCCACCTTGTATTTACCCCATCATAACATGCCTTCAGTTCAGGCATTGGAAATGCCTAGCAGTCTTCTGTGTTCAGAAAAGCACTCACATCTGTCAGAGATTTCAGCATAGCAATCACAAGCCCTTTAGCTCTAACCACTTCCTGAGTCCTCTTTCTGACTCGTTTACTTATTCCCATTCGTCACTTATGTCCAATTCATTCAACAAAAATGTTACTGATAACAACTGATAAAAACAATATCAGTAAACGTGTCAGATCTGGGAAGGCTTCCTGGAGGAGGTGCCATACCAAGCCATGCCCTCTTTTATGCACAGAGGATGGAGGAAAGATTGGGGAAGAATGTACAAGAGAAAAACAATCTTAGCAAAGACCCATAAGCAACAAGGATCATGGATTATGAAAGAGGAAGAAAGTTAAGGTCACAAAGGTTGGTGGGGCCAGATTACACAGGTTTTGCAGGTGGTGTTAAGAAGTTTGGAATGTCTCCTGAGGGCAGTAGGTGGGATTTAAAGAGGGGAATGATGCTATCTGAATTGTGTTATAGAAGCATCTTTATGGCTGCCTTGTGGGGAATGAATTTAAGGTGGGGCACCAGCAAGGAGGCTGTTGGAATGGTCTGGGCCAGGGCAAAAAGGACAGTGGGAATGGTGGAAAGGAGGTAAATGCTAAATACAGAAGTCCAATTTAGGTAAATGAAAGAATGAACATGGGCAAGGGTGAAGAGGAGGGATTAAACACCCAGAGGAATTGGGAGTAGCTGAGATTGTTGTTACTGGGTGCCATGGTCGAGTCCAACTCATAGTGACCCCATGTGACAGAGTAGAACTACCCTATAGGGTTTTCTAGGCTGTAATCTTTTGTGTGTATGTGTTTTATTGTTGTAATTTAAGTGAAAGTTTACAATTCAAGTTAGTCTCTCATACAAAAATTTATGCATACATTGTTATGAGACCCTAATTTCTCTCCCTATACTGTGACAACACACTCCTCCTTTCCACCTCTGATTTCCCGTGTCCATTCAACCACCTCCTGACCCTCTTTGCCTTCTCATCTCACCTCTGGATGGAAGCTGCCCATTTAGTTTCACATATCTACTTGAGCTAAGAAGCACACTCTTCACGAGTATCATTTTATGTCCCGTAGTCCCGGTCTAATCTTTGTCTGAAGAGTTGGCCTCAGGAATGGTTTTAGTTCTGGGTTGACAGAGAGTCCAGGGCCATGCTCTCCGGGGTTCCTCCGGTCTCAGTCAGACCATTAAATCCGGTAATTTTACTAGAATTTGAGTTCTGCACCCCACTTTTCTCATGCTCCATCAATGACTCTCCGTTGTGTTCCCTGTCAGGGTGGTCATTGGTGGTAGCTGGGCACTGTCTAGTTCTTCTGGTCTCAGGCTGATGCAGTCTGTGGTTTATGTGGCCCTTTCTGTCTCAGTTGTGTTCCCCATCAGGGCGGTCGGTCATTGGTGGTAGCCAGGCACTATCTAGTTCTTCTGGTCTCAGGCTGATGCAGTCTCTATTTGTGTGGCCCTTTCTGTCTCTTGGACTAATACTTTCCTTGTGACTTTGGTGTTCTTCAGTCTCCTTTACTCTAGGTGTTTTGGGACCAATTGATGCACCTTAGGTGGCCGCTCGCTAGCTTTTGAGACCCCAGACGCCACTCACCAAAGTAGGATGCAGAACATTGTCTTAATAAACTTTGTTATGCCAATTGACCTAGATGTCCCCTGAAAGCATGGTCCCCAGACCCCCAGAGGCTGTAATCTTTAGGAAGCAAATCGCCAGATCTTTCTCCCGCGGAGCGGCTGGGTGGGTTCGAACCGCCAAACTTTTGGGTTAACAGCGTAGAGGTTAACCGTTGCGCCACCAGGGATTAACAGATACCTAGAGACTTCTCAAGGCCCCCCCACCTCACCGCCCTAAAAGGTTTGAGCGCCTATCCTAGGAATTTAGAGGCACCTCCGGGTCTGCAGGGGAAGCTGCAGCTGCGACCGCCCCTCTAGGCTCGCATTAGTCCACTCGCTGGTGTAGGCGCCCGCTCCCGCGGCCGGCCAACTGCGCATGCCCTCCCCGGCCGGCAGGGGGCGCGCGCGTGCGCAAATGGGGCCGGGCCGCGCTGGGGCCAGCGCCGGAAGTGTGCGGTTGCCAT